CCGGGGACCCCGTCACAGAAAGGTGGATTTCTCAGAAAAGCAGGACTTCCCTTGGAAAGCGGGCAGCTCAGATGAAAGCTTGGCAAGAAGGTGGCGGACAAAGGGACAGTGGCTTTGACCAGGGCAGGCACAGGGACTCAGACACCAGCAGAGCTGCAGACATGAACAAGGGACTCTTCCTGCCAAAGCGACTCTCACCATGGTAAACCACAGTTTTGCTGTTTATTTAAGCTTGAAAACAGCAAAGCTGGCACGAGGCTTGCATCGCTGCGGCCCTGGCAGCTCAGACCCCCAGGTCTGTCCCAGGGAGGCAGAGGAGCAGCAGCACCTTGCAGCAACCAGTTGGTTCCTGCAGTAACTTTGCAGAGGTTACCCAACTAACAGCAACAGCCAGAGACAGGATGACATCTACACAAGCCAAACCAGGGGTATTTTACTTTGTTTTAAGCCTAGAGGCAGAGAGAAGCCCTTCACACAGAGGCAGTATCAGCCACTTCCACCTGGAGACCTCCTGAGAGGATCGTCATGAAAAGGGTTTGCTGACAGACAAGGTGCAGAGGGATCCCCAGGGATGCTCTGGAAGGAAAACCCATGGGAGCAACAATCTCTCTCACAGCATCCTGTGTAAGGCAAACCACGGCTTTCTCTCTAAAAGCTATTTGCAGAGTAATTACAAAGATCCTATTTCTCCTGCTCAGGAGACAGAGTTGCAAAGGCAGCAGGAAGCCCGTGCAGCAAACCCACATCACCAAGGCGTAAAACACATGGTAAAGCCACGCTGCCAGAACCAGAAAACAGCTCCTGCAAGGTCACATGGACTTTTGAGGGGCACAAAGCCACCGGATTATTTGCTTTAGACACATGCAGAGGACAGGGTGACTCGGGAGCCAGCAGCGCTCCTGGCTTTGCTGCCAGGCCGTAACACACCCGCCCCGACACAAGCCTGCCTTGCACAAATACTCCAGGCCTGGCAAACCCACGCAGGGGCCGCGTAATTTCCACTGGCATCCATCTCCTCCGGTCTGCCTGCGCCTGGAGCTCGCGCAGCCAGGGAGATCCGATAAACCACGTGCCTGAGAGCGGGCGCAGAGCAGCCTCCCCTCCGGAGAAGGATGCTCCCGTGGGAACACACACATCTAGTGGTGTCAAGCCAGGTACGGAGCGTGAGCCAGCCTCCTCTCCCAGCAACCCCGGTGTGCTTGCACGTTGCCTCTCCTGACTAAGCAGCGCAGGACTGCAGGAATCTCATCTTTCCAGCTGCTGGGAAGCCTCTGGCACAGTGCTGCGGCTGTGCAGCTGAGCTGGGGGAGGTATTTTCATCCAGGATTTCCCCCCCACACTCAAGAATGAATTACTGCCCTCCACTTGCAGTAGCATTTTCAGTAATGGCTTTGCAAAAAAAAAAAAAAAAAAAAAAAAAAGCGTGAAGCACTTGTTTGTAAAACCCCTCCTGCTTCTCAGCTGTATCACTTCTGTCCAGACCAGGCGCAGGTCTGCCTTGCTAGGCAGCAAACATGACCCGGGGGGGTTAACCACGCTCAGACCGCGTACTGCATCTCTGCACGTGTAACCCCTCAGCTTGCCCCGGCCTCTTCTCTCCCCCTTTCCTCAGAATCCTGACAGAAGGAGAGGGAGCAATTCCTTTTAAGCCACTGTGAAGTTGGAGAATGGCTTGATACACCCCTGGCTCAGAGCCACGCAAGCCACACGAAATTAGAAAACTCAGCCCGGGAAGAGCACTGCCTGCACCCCGCCAGGCTCGGAGGGGGAAAATCAGCCCCATAAAACCCTCGGGGGTTTCGATGGCAGGGCACGGAGCGCGGGGAGAAGCCGGCGGGCTCAGGGTGAACACTGCATTTGGGGGGTTTAGGACGGGGCACGGGGAAAGGCGAGCCTGAGCCCCGGAGAGCAGCCAACGCTCTGGCATAGCCAGTGCTGCTGTGGGTGCCGGGCAGGGAAAAAGGGATGAGCTGGGCAAGACAACCAGCAGCAAGAAAATAGGTAATAAAAGCATTAAAGGGATCACTGGGACCCTAGAACCTGTCCTAAAACTCCTTCTCTAAACTACCGTACCCCTCCACGGAGCCAGCCTTGAGTTTTTTGGTGCCCCAGTGCTCACATCTATGCAGCCCCTTTATTTCCAGGAGCCCCAAACCCTGCAGCACCCATGCCCGGCTGGACTCCATCGAGCTACGTGGATCAGGGAAGGGAAACAACATCATTTGCCTCTTTTTGGGGTTGGGTTGGTTTTTTTTTTTTTTAACAGAAATCCAGTGTTTATGCACAGAGTATTTATACTCAAGCCCCTCTCTTGCATATAAATCACCAGTGCGGGGAACCCAAACTGTTTTCCAGCCGGATTGCCATGCCAGCCCGATGCCGGGGAAGAGCCCGTGGGACGTTTTCTTTGGCTGAGGACCCGGAGGCAGGATGGAGGAGGAAGAGGAGCAGCCCCAGGGCCCCATCCTTGCACAGCCCTGGGTCACAGGACCAGGAGATTCCAGACTTCCAGCAGGAACCAATACTTGAGAAGAAAAATAAAGCTTTCCAGGTACCAAGTCCAACCAGTGGCTTTTGGATAGATTTGTCTGGTTAATCAGATGAGAGAAGCAATGATGCGAAGCCCAAGGAAGCAAAGTCCTGCCTACATGTGCTGCAGTCCCGTCACTGCAGTTCATTAGGAGAGAGATTTCCAGCAAAGCAAGTCAGGTCCAAAAGCTACTAAAAAGCCTTTCACAGTTGGCAAAGCTAAGACGCAGCTAAGGAAATCATCATTTTCTATTAAATTAGAGATGGAAAAGGCTTTTAATGAAAGAAAACTACCTTAAGGGTGGGAAGGGAGAGAGAAGTCTGCGGCTTGCTTTAACAACTGCAACAAAGCACATGTGAAAGCCAAAGCACCTGTGTTGGTAGCCAAGCTACACACATCCGCTGATCCACGGGCCACAAAATGGGTGCTTGCAGAGGAAAGAAGGTGGCTTGTTGCAGAAGCAGCAGCAGCCCATCGTGGGTGCTGCTGAGCCCCCCAGCCCAGCACATCACCCCTTCGCAGCCCAATCCTTGACAGTGCCCCATAGCCCCCCATAA